ACTATCCCTTCCCTCCCTACCTTCCCCAGGTTTTTTTTTTTAAATTGTGATTAAGTGATTACATAATTTCCCAAATTTCACAGTATTGTGGAATAATGATGCTCATTTAAAGTCACAAGCTCATTCTAACTTTCCTGGAGCAAATTGTCTATCACAGTCTATAACATATAACGGTGTATACATATACACCATACATGTGATCAGCAGCATGGGGATATTTAGTAGTGGTTCGACCAGATGAGTGGGAGTTCTTTGTTTCTTAAGTCCTGTTAATTTTGTTGTATCACCTAACATTTTGGACTTAACATCCACTCATCAGGGAGACCATGTACCGTTTGTCTCTTTGCTCTTGGCTTACCTCGCTCAACATTATTTCTTCTAGCTCCATCCATTTCCCCGTAAATGCCATTATTTTGTCATTTGTAATGGCTGCATAATATTCCATTGTGTATAGATACCACAATTTTTGGATCCATTCATCTGTGGCGGGGCATCTGGGTTGTTTCCATATCCTGGCTATTGCGAACAGTGCTGCAATAAACATGGAGGTGCATGTGTCCTTGTATATTGGTTCCTGTTGTTCAGGGTAGGTGCCTAGAAGTGAGTCCTTAGTTTTTGCTCAAAAAACTAAGTTAATTGGAGATAAGAGTCTCACAGACTTTCCTGCCTCAGCTGACTTTGAGCAGAAATCCTCAGATCTCAGATTCTGAGAAGCTAGGATTATAGTGTGAGCCACTGGCATTTGAACAAGATCTGTAGGGATATTGCATGGAAAATGCTGATCTATAGTATATTGTGGCACTTACTACTTTCATGTTGTAGTTTTGCCCTTTACTACTTCTGGAATAATTTGAGTTTTATTTGCTTTTTTTTCAGTCCTAGGGCTTGAACTTAGGGCCTGGGTGCTGTCCCAGAGTTATTTTGCTCAAGGCTAGTGCTCTACCACTTGAGCCACAGCTTTGTGGTGGTTAATAGGAAGCAAAAGTCTCAGACTTTCCTGCCCAGGCTGGCTTTGAAACGTGATCCTCAGATCCTCAGTAGCTAGGATTATATATGTGAGCCACCAGTGCACAGCTTATTTTTTGTTTTAAAGTTTTTAAAACAGTTTGATAGAAAGCTCTATAATAAGAGTTGTTGCAGACCTAACAATGCTTGGGAACACTGAGATGAGTTCCCAAGGATAAGGGGCAAGTCATTTTTCCCTCTCAAAACCTTATCTCCTCCATGGCCTTGTGTGATAGTTGCTAACCTGCATTATTCTTGTCAGCTAGATTTAAAGTTCCTCAAAAGTCTTCTGTATTGTTATATTGCCAAAAGGCCCAACAGAGGACCTGCATACAAAAGGCCCAGTAAGTAACTCCAACAGAGCAGCAAGACTGTGGTCACACTCCAACTGTTTGTAACTTACTGTGGGCCCCTAGACAGGTGGACATCTCACACAGCTGCATACAAGGGCATTCCTTGTTGATGTGGGTAGCCTAGTGGCTGCTTTTCGGCTCCCTTTGCCCTACCTGTGTCCACAGATCTACGGAAGTGACCCTAAGAGCTGTATAGGATCTCCAGCTAGAAGAGTTTGGGAGCAGCTGTATATGCCATAAGCCTCTTATGGCTGATTTTACTTTCCCAACTCTTGCTTCTCAGGATTCTTCTCTTCCTGCAGAGAGGAAGAAAATGGTACAACCAGTTTTTTTTCCCTGAAAGCCAAGGCCCTGATGAATTGAGCTTTTCTTAATTTATCTTTAAGTGCTTGAACTGCAGATAACTTTGCCTCCTCTTTCTCTAGAACCTCTGTACCACAGGTAATTGAGCTGGGCACTGGTGGCTTATGCCTGTGCCCAGGCCCAGAGTTCAAATCCCATGACAGACCAAAAAAAAGGTAATTGACCCATTAGGTGACTGCCCGAGATAGCTTTCCTTCCTTGGAACCTTTGGGCTTATTCTGGCCTGTTTCAGTAATGGACACTGTGGCGACAACTAATGTGACAGACCCCTAGTCAAGTCATGTGAGAGTGGACAGTCATAACCATACCATTTGTTTTCTTACTCATGGATATGTGCAATTCCCTCTCTACTGCACATAAAATACCTCTCCAAGAGGTAAAGATGTAGAGTCTATACCTAGGTGATTACAACCCTAAGTTTCCCCCATCACTCTTCATCCTCATCTTTTATGCTTTCCTTGTCATCTTCCTTTGAAACACAACATGCAGATTTATCAAATATTGCTAAACTAATTTCCCATTATTTCTGTTACTTCAAGCTTTCTGTGTATTTGTGTCATCACATGCTATTTTCTGTGGTAGTTACATTTAAACTTACTGGGTCAGGTTATTTTAAATTTAGATTCTTTGCCTTGCAACTTAGGTGAAGAAATTAAGACCAGGTGTGTCTTGACAATTTGTATTAGCTCATTATAAAACAATCTTTTAAGCATTTAAAATCTAAATGAAGCTGAGCACTGGTGGCTCATGCCTGGAATCATAGCTACTCAAGAGACAGATTTGGGGAGTATGGTATTTGAAGCTAGCCCACACAGGAAAGGCTATGAGACTCATATCTCCAATTAGCCACCAAAAGCTGAAAGTGGAGCTGTAGCTCAAGTGAAAAGCTCAGCTTTAAGTGGAAAAGAAGCTAAGAGAAAGCTCTCAGACCCTGTGTTCTAGTTCTAGACTTATGACCTCCAGAGAGTGAGACAATCCATCGAGGCACAGTCAAAGGTGGACAAAAGAAGTTTATTTACACTATTAACACCAGAAAGGGTCTTGAGACTACCTTGTCCTGGGATAGATACCCAGAACCAGGAGCAGCCTCCACCAGCAAACCTCCAAGCCGCCAATAGGCAGTCCTGACCCCCTGACCTTTATTAGTCGGTCTCTAAACCTCAGACCTCCAAACCTCTAAAGGCTTTTCCCTTTCTTCCCTTCCTCCTCCACTGCAGGCCTCTCCACTCTCCACAGGCCTGCCCTGCTCTGCTCCAGGAGGCGCCTCTCCACAGGCCTCTCTAGAGGAAGGCCCCAAATGGCCTCCAGAGGAGGCCGCAAATGACCTCCAAAGGAGGCCCAGTTGGCCCCTCGAGGAAGCCCCAAATGGCCTCTCAAAGCTTGCCCTGTCCTCCACAGGCCTGCCCTGCTCTGGCAGACTTTCCCCTCCTGCCATCTCTCCTCCACTCCTACTCCTCTCTCCTTCCTCCACGCTTTTTTATTTTTTCTAAAGGTTTTTTTCCCCCCTGTTTTCCAACTGCCATTCATGCTCCTCCCCAAGCTGCCCACTGTCCAATCATTTCCTGACAGCTCACCACGTGGGGCTTGACGCCTCACCCTCCTGTAGCACGCCCCACCCCTTTCAGCGGCACGCCCCGCCCCCTTTCGGCGGCACGGCACGCAGGGCGCCAGGTGGGACGGTGTCCTCAGCCTCTCAAAGCCCTGCCCTGTCTGGTGGCCCTGTCCATGGAGCGGTGAGGCTCATCTCTTGATGCCCTGCCCCCTCCAGCAGGCCAGCCACGGGGCCATGCCTGATTATCCAGCCCCACGGGTTATATTATACTGGCACACAAACTAACCTCCAAAAAGCCAAATGCAGCTGGGTGCTGGTGGCTCACACCTGTAATCCAGCTACTCAGGAGGCTGAGATCTGAGGATCGCGGTTCAAAGCCAGCCCCTGCAAGAAAGTCCGTGAGACTCATCTCCAATAAACCACTGGGAAACCGGAAGTGGCGCCATGGCTCAAGTGGTAGAGCACTAGCCTTGAGCTGAAGAGCTGAGGGACAGTGCCCAGGCCCAGAGTTCAAGCCCCATGACCAATGTCTTATTATGTAGCCTATGCTGGCCTTGAACTCATGATTTTCTTGCCTCAGGCTTTATGCTGAAATTTGAAATTCAAATCTAGATTAGCACTGTTCTACCTGTGTATGTGCACCAGTACTAGGACTTGAGTGCAGGGGCTGGGAGTTGTTCCTTAGCTTTTTTTGCTCAAGGATGATGCTCTGCCACTTGAGCCACAGTTCCGCTGCTGGCTTTTTGGTGGTTAATTGGCAAAAAGAACCTCAGAGTTTCCTACCAAGGCTGGCTTCTAATCACAATCCTCAAATGTCAGCCTCCTGAGTAGCTGATATTACAGCCATGAACCCACCAGTACAGGACTGCAAGGTTTCATTCATCATTTAAGGTAGGTTGGTATACATACAAATTTAGTGGTTTAAAAAAACCTTTGTAGCACCATAATAACTTCTGCTACTAACTACCCAGAGTTCGGCCAAATTTCACAGGTCAAGGACAAAGTAGCACACAAGTCTGTCCTCACTTTAGACAGAGTAGTGAACTTAAGGGTCCCCAAGTCACCTACATTTCTGAGAGCTGACTCTAAATTCAGAGGCTCTACCCCTGCTTCATTCAGTGAATGACTAGAGAACTCAGGAAAGTACTGCCTTTATGATCACAATTTTATTGTAGCTAAAAGATACATAGCCAAAAGCCCTCTATACACCACCTTTATAATAACAATAAAAATTAAAGAAAAACCGATGGACGGTCAAAACAGCCTCAAGAAGGTCCGGAAATATCCCAAATGCAAAGCTTCTGTTGTCCTCAAGACTGCAGAGAACTGCCAAAGAGGATTTCGTGTCCTAGTTAATGTGTGTGTGTGTGTGTGTGATAACACTGGGACTTGAACTCAGAGATAGTCGTCCATCCCGAAGCATTTTCCCTTAAGGCTCGGGCCTTGACCTCCGTGCCCCCGCCGGCCCCCCGGCCCCGCCCCGCAGGCCCCGCCTCGCCCCCTCCGGCCCCGCCCCTCCGGCCCCGCCCCCGCTGCCCCGCCCCCTCCGGCCCCGTCCTGGGTCCTAGCGTGAGGACCCTTGTGAGCTGCCCGCAGCTTCGCCTGACTCAGCCTCCTCCATGACGCCCTTGGACAATCTCCCGCCTATGGCCCGCACAACAGTGTAACCCTCACGTCTTGGGCGTCCAGACGCTGGGGGAGGCCAGCCATTTGAGGAGGAGCGGTCGCGTCAGGCGGTGGGGAAGGCTTCCCTGGGGAAGGCGCCGGTGCTGCTACAGCTCAGCAATGGCTGCGGCCGTGCGCGCGGCGGGCTGTCTTCCTGCACGGTGCGGCGTTCGCGCGGGTGAGAGCGGGAAGCCGGACGCGCTGTGCGGGGGCTGTGCGGGGTCTGCCGGAGCCTGGGCGGAGGGAAGCGAGGTGCCTCGGTCTCTGGCTCTCGTGCGGGTCTCCTGACATGCCCGGGCCCGCCGTGTGATGTTGGGCGCGTCCGCTCCCTCTCTGGTTGCTGGGGCCCGGTGACCTGGACGCCGGTCATGAAGGTTGGTGTGTCAGTTCAGGCAACCGCTTCTGCTTGCACGGCGAAGAGGAGCGGGTACTGGCAAGCATCGCTTTCCTCGGGAGCGCGACCCGCAGGCTTGTAAGGTGACGGCGGCCCTGGTGGGTTCTAGGCTAAGGGCCGCCGGGGAAAGCTGGGGAAGGCCGCCTAGCAGCGGAGTGGAATACGGTTCGGACCCCTGTCCTCGACGCCCTTGTCCCTCACTGGTGGCGGTCAGAACGTGCTCACCCCTACCCCGTGTTGGGCGTGTGCAGCCCCAGGGAGGGACCTCTTCGCGACTGACGTCGCCTTTTCCTAGTTGCAAAACGTAGAGACGCCCCGAAGCCTGAAAAGCTCGGATTTTTGTTGTTGTTCCTTTGTGCCGGTACTGGGGCTTGAACTCTGGACCAGAGGGCTGCCCTTCTGCTTTTTCGCTCCAGGCTGCCTTTCCTGTCACCCGAGCCGCAGCTCCACACTTCTGTTTTTTTTTTGTTGGTTAATTGAAGATAGAGTCTTCAGATCTCAGCCTCCTAAGTAGGTTGGGGTCACAGGTGTGAACCACCGATGTCCGGCTGAAAAGTTTGTTTTCACTTCCCATTTTGCGGCAAAAATTTGGCCTGGACATTGTTTTATCTGTCTCCCCCCACTCCCCGCCCCTGTCCATCTCCTTTTTTGTCCAGGCCTCTTTCAAATAGCTAGCTTTCCTTTAGGACTTTTTAACTAGTTGCCAGGACTCTCTTCAGCTGTTTATATTTTTCCCCCCCTTCACTATGCCTTCGTGGAGTCTATAGTCATTCTCTTTTTTACAGATGAGGGGTAAAGGCTCAGGGGTGTGAAACTTATTCATGGACTAGGAGGTCATAAGATTTTGAACCCACAATGTCTAGCTTCCTGTACCTAGCCCTTTTTTTTTTTTTTTTAAACAGACTTATTAAAATAAAAACATGTAACATATAGTTCTACCTTTTTTGGGTGGGGCTTGAACTCAAGGCCTGGGCACTGCCCCTGAGCTTCTTTTGTTCAAGGCTAGCACGCTACCACTTGAGCCACAACACTTCTGGCTTTGTCAGTTTATGTGGTACTGAGGAATAGAACCCAGGTCTTCCTGCATGCTAGGCAAGCACTCTACTGCTAAGCCACAATCCCAGTCTAGTTCTAAGTATACAATTCAATGTAGCATTGTGCCGAGAACTGTACAGCCATTATGACAATTAGAACATTTTCATCACTCCAAAGATAACCTGTAACTTGTAGCTATTATCCCCAGCTTCCCTTTGGACCCTGTCCTTAAGCAATCACTGATCCATTTCTGTCATTGTCATTGTTTGTCCTGGAGATTTCTTATAAATAGAATCAAAACTTTTCTGATTGGCTTCGTTCATTTAGTATAAAGTCAGGATTCATCTATGGATTCCTCAGTATCCCTTATGGCTGAATGATGCTGTTGTTTCCATGCACATTTTATTCATCCAGTCATCAGTTGATGGACTGTTTGGATCATTTCCACTTTTTAGCTATTAGGCCTGAGGTTGCTATATGTACATATGCACACAACATGCTTTTGTGTATATGTCTACTTTTCTTTCCTTCTGTATATGTAACTGGGATGAAGTTGCTAATGAAATGACAACTCCATATCTAACTTTTTGAGGCTCTGCTGGGCTTTTCTGAAGTATCTACTATTTTATACTCCCACCAGCAGAGTCTGAGGGTTCTGGTTGCTCTTTGCCAACACTTGTTTATCATACGTGGTTTTGATTCTAGCCATCTTACTAGCTATGAAGTAGTCTCAGTCTGTAGTTTTGTTTTACATTTCCCTGATGGGTAATGAGTATATTTTCATGTGTTTACTAGCCATTTGTGTATGTTCTTTGAATGTCCAGATCTTTGTTCATTTTAAAGCAAGGTTGTCTTTGGTTGTAAGAGTTAACATTTTCTAGATATTGTAATATTGTCAGATTTTTTTTTTTTTTTTTTTTTGTCAGTCGTGGGGCTTGAACTCTGGGCCTGAGCGCTGTCCCTCAGCCCTTCAGCTCAAGACTGGCTCTCTACCATTTGAGCCCAGAGCCACTTCTGGCTTTTTCTGCTTATGTGGTGCTGAGGAATTAAACTCAGGGCCTCATGCTTGCCAGGCAAGCACTCTACCACTGAGCCACCTTCCCAGCCCCTTACAAAATTTTTATATCATTCTGTATGGTGTCTTAAGTTTCTTGATGGCATTCATTTTCTCCCTCTTTTGAGAATCAAACCCAGGGCCTGGCAAATAGTAGGCAAGTATTCTGTACTGAGCCACAACTTGCTTTCGTTTTTTGTGATGCTAGAGATGGAACCCAGGGTTTTGTGCATACTGGACAAGTGCTTTTACTGCTTAATTACATCCCAGCTTTGAAATAAACAAATTTGAAATTTTGATCAAGTCTGTTTTTTTTTTTTTTTTTTGTCACTCTTGCTTTTGGTATGTTTTTAAAAAACTGCCAAATCCAAGGACATAGTATGTCCTTTATTTTAAGGGTTTTATAGTTTGGGTTCGCACTTTTAGGTTTTTTGACCCATTTTGACCTAATTTTTATATATTTTGTGAGGTAGGACTCCATCTTCATTCTTCTGGATGTTGATATTCATTTGCTCTAGTACCATTTGTTCAAAACATTATTTTGTTCCCCATCTACTGGTCTTGGCACTCTTGCCAACAATGAGTTGCTCAGAGCCTATACTTGTACCTGCGTGAGGGGTTACACAGGATGGTACAATTAGAGCCTGGTGCAATAAGACCCTGGTGCTCTAGAGGGAACAGGGTTCACTGTGAAACAGGGAGGCTTCACTACAAGTGGGTGTGGCAAAAAAAAACCCTGGAGAATCTCATGGAGGCACAAATTATCAGAGCAGAGTGAGTTCAACACCGACTATGACTCTGGCATGGCAGTGTGAGACTGAGGTGCAGGCTTGGGACCATGCGGTAGCCCTTCAGGCTGAATTGAGGACTTTTGACTCTTACATGCATTATGGAGCCAAAGATAAATCAGGGAAGTGAAATAATCAAACCTACTATTTTAGATAAGGGTTAAATAGGCAAAGAGAAATAAGAAACTTGTTAAGAGATTACCCTGTGACTGAGTGATCAAGAGGCCTTAACAAAGAAGGGCCAGCAAGACTAGAGCAGAGGTACAGCTGGACAGGGTTCCATTTTTAAGGAGACTCTGTGAGGCTTGGTAACTAGGTGGATGTGAGGGTGAAGGGAGGGGGAGCTATGGCATCAGCTACTTGGCAGCTGGTCATAGAGCCCAGAAATCACTGGCGTTAGTTCTTTTATTTTATAGATATTAATTTCCTATGGCTATTACCTATTTCCTTTTCTCTAGAAATAATATCTTTAGTTTTAAATTTTTAAATTTTGACTTGTTTCTTTTTTTACAGGTCACATCTGGTCTAGGCAGCTCTCCCTAAGCACCTTTCCAGCAGCTTCCATTTTGGCATTGAAGACTACTCTCAGCAATGGTGAGATTCTTCTACCAAGTACCTCTTTTCATAAAATTTAGTGTTAAAGTAGTTTCTGTAATTTTGGAAAGTATAAATTAATGAAATACATTTTTACAATGAAAATGTGTGGAATCTTGAGTACTTTTCAGACTTTTTGTGTTGCCAGTCATAGTTGTCTTGAATAGTTAGTATGAAGTAGCCTTAAAAGACTTGCTATTTAGGCTAATCCACACACCAGGTATTGTTTTGGGGGTGGGGATAGGGATGAGTGGTTGAGACAGGGTCTTACTATGCAGCCCAGAGTCACCTCCTCTGCCTTAGTTTCTTAAATAGTAGTCTTACAGGCCACCTCACACTAGGTTTTATGTGGATAGTATCATTCTATTAAAATATAAAGTACATCTGAGAGGCTGAGTGACTTGTTTAGTATCACAGAGTTAACAATGGCAGGACTATGAGTTTTCTGGATACTTGATACTTCCTTGCATGTAACACAGGCCTTTCAATGATAACGGTGCAAGGCCCTCTCTTCAGTTACTCTGCAGGAAGGGCAGAAGCTAACCCTTGCTGGACCCATGCTGTGTCAGCCAACCATTTAATTTTGCCTCTTCATGTGGTACTACATAGAATGGAATTGTAATCTCCTTGTGTCCTTAATGTTGCTGAACTCTGGAGTGCTGGTTCTTGTTTTGGTTATTCCCTTTGCTGTTGTTAGCCCTGCCTGTGAGATGCCTTGCTATATAGGCCTTACAGAGGAGTGTGGCAGAGCTGGGCTCTTCCCTTTATCTATTAATTTGCTGGTTGATCTGTTGATTCACTCCTAAGGGATTTATTGTGCCCTTTACTATGACACTGACAGCATCTCCATTCTGAGCTAGTGTGGGGCCTGGAGAAAGCTCTGCATGGAAGCACATTGGTTGTTGCAATGACACAAGAGTCTGCTCCACCTCTTCCTACATCTAAGCCAAGTGTAAACATCACTCACCAGAGCCAGCCTTCACTTCCTCATCTATACAATTCTTTTCTTTTCTCTCTCTCTCTTTCTTTCCTTCCTTTCTTTCTTTCTTTCTTCCTTTCTTTCTTTCTTTCTTTCTTTCTTTCTTTCTTTCTTTCTTTCTTTCTTTCTTTCTTTCTTTCTTTCTTTCTTTCTTTCTTTCTTTCTTTCTTTCTTTCTTTCTGTCTGTCTTTCTGTCTTTCTTTCTTTCTTTTCTTTTCTTTTTTTGCTGGTCCTGGGGCTTAAACTCAGGGCCTGGGCTCTGAGCCTCTCTGTGCTCAAGGCTAGCTTTCTACCACTTGAGCCACAATGCCACTTCCAGCTTTTTCTGTTTATGTAGTACTGAGGAATTGAACCCAGGGCTTCATGCATGCTGGGCAAGCACTCTACCACTAAGCCACATTCCCAGCCCTAAAGTTATTTTCTAAAATATTAAACTTGCAAGGATACTAAAAGGCTTATAGTTTAAAGTTAGTTCCCCAATTTATTTATTTTTTCTTTTTTTTGGGTCCGGTCGTGGGGCCTGAACTCTGGGCCTGGGTGCTGTCCTTCAGCTCTTCAGCTCAAGGCTAGCGCTCTACCACTTGAGCCACAGCGCCACTTCCGGCTTTTTTCGTTTTGCTTATGTGGTGCTGAGGAATCGAACCTAGGGCCTCATGCATGCAAGGCAAGCGTTGTACTACTGAGCCACCTTCCCAGCCCCCCTCCCGCCAATTTCTTTATTTGTATGCCGTTAACTGGGGTTTGAATTCAGGACCTTGAGCTCTCACTTTACTTGCTTGTTCACAACTGGTACTCTACCATTTGAATTATCCTTCCAGTCAGGATTTTTAAAAATTGGGAATGGAGTCTTTTTCCCCCCCCCCAGGCTGGCTTTGAACCTTAATCCCTCAGATCTTAGCCTTCTAAAGCTAGGATTATATGTGTGAGTCACTGGTGCCCTCCTTAATTCCCTTTCTTACTTCTTTCCCTTGTCTAGTGACACTTTGAATTCTTTTGCCTTTCATCTGGTTGTATTTCTCAATAAGTTGTGGCTATTGTTCTTTTATATGTTGTTTTGCTCAATTGAGGATTTTGCTCATGTTCAAAAACATAAGGATACAAGGAGATTTCAGTTACATTCTGTATAGTCCACATGGAGAGCCACTATCACATGCTTTTCCCTACTTTCTCCCAACATAGTTATAAGCATAGTTTGAGTCTTTGAATCTTTGGGCATTGTATAATATATATATATATATATATATATATATATATATATATATATATATATATATAATGGAGCTTGAACTCAGCATGGGTACTGTCCCTTAGCTTTTGTGTTCAAGGTTGGCACTCTGCCACTTGAACAATACTTCCATTTACAGCCTTTTGGTGGTTAATTGGATATAAACAGCTCATGAACTTTTCTGCTTAGGCTGGCTTTGAACTGCTATCCTCATGTCTCAGCCTCCTGAGTAGCTAGGATCACAGATTTGAGCCACCAGCACCCAGCAGTTTCCTTGTGCTTTGAATAAAAGGTACTGAACATGTTACTGCACCTCTCTTTTCCATGCAACTTATTTGCATATCCTTCCACATCAACACATTGCTTTGCTACATGCAACTGGGGGCAATGTTTGGCAGAGAAGACTGTTGAACTTGGGTAATACAAGGCAGAAAACATGTATGGATAGATGTGTTCTTCCTCCTCCTCCACTACCCCCCCCTTTTTTTGTGTCAGTCCAGGAGCTTGAACTTGGGGTGTGGGTGCTGTCCTTGAGCTCTTTTGCCAAGACTAGCACTCTACCACTTGAGCTACAACTCCACTTCCAGCTTTTTGGTGGTTAATTGGATATGCGTCTCATGAACTTTCCTTCCTAGGTAGCTTCAAGCCAAGATCCTTAGTTCTCAGCCTCCCGAGTAGCTAGAATCATAGGTGTGAGCCACCAGCGCCCGTCCCTCTGCTTCTTTCTTTTTTTTTTTTTTATTTAATTCCATGCGCTCCATCAGTTCAACTTCTGAATAAGGGGAGGTGACAGAGGACCCAGTGCTGCCAAGTTCTATGCTGGACAGTGAGGTGGGACTCAGGGCCTGGGACTGTCTCTGAGCTGCTTTTGCTCAAGGCTAGCGCTCTACCACGTGAGCCACAGCGCCACTTCTGGCTTTTTTTCTTTTTGCTTATGTGGTGCTGAGGAATCGAACCCAGGGCCTCATGCATGCAAGGCAAGCGCTCTACCACTGAGCCACCTTCCCAGCCCCTCTGCTTCTTTCTTTAAAGAACTACATCTGTTGTGTGGATGAACTGTACTTTTTCTAATTAGATGGGCATTGAAGTAGTTACTAGTTAAGCTTTTTTTTTTTAAAGAAGACTTTCTAAAGTATTCTTAAAAAGTCAGGATTTTAGTGACTCGTATTTATTAACAATGATTTTGTGGTGCTGACAGTCCTTCTCTATGGTCATGGAGGAGCTAACGCAGTTTTATTCTATCTGCTTTATAGGCCCTTGGTCATCATGGGGAACCAGAGACAACCATCAGTTCAGCAGCTTGAGCTATGCGCTGCAGACACAATGCTGTATTTCTTTTCGCAGTAACTCCATCGGCTACCAGTATAGACCCTACAGTTTCTTCACTAAGTGTATGTAGCAAAGTTACCAATTTCTTACCTCATGTAACTGGAAAAATGAAGGGTGTATTTGTGTCACAGTTTTTTTTTTTAAATGAATTAGCATTTTAGTGACTAGAATATGATATATTGTGTGGAGAGCTGCGGGAGCCGACCAAAGATGGCGCGGCCGCATGGCGTGGCCGCGACCAAAGATGGCGCTGGCTTCTGCCTTCCGCCTTCCCGATGGCGAGTGCTCTCTGTAAAAAAACAACTCCTTATATGGCTATGGCTTGGCTACTGGCTTGCTTCCGTGTTTGCGACCCTATTGGTATATGCCACATGGCACCTCGGGATTGGCCATCCAGGAGGCTTATAACCGGAGTGCGGGTGCAGGGGAGAGAGAAGCTAACAAACAAGGTTCCTGAATAAACTGCTTTGAGAAGAATCCCGGGTCGTGTCTTCCTGGCGGGTCGAGGTGGTCGCGACAATATTGTAAAAGAACTTAATTCAAATGGCAGTCATTAAAAAATGTTCATTAATAATATTTGAAATATGGAGAAAAGTTTGCAATGTATCAAGCAAACAAAACAAGCAAACAAAATTGTGCATATAGTATCTCAATTAAAAATAAAACACTACACTCAGATGATCTAACAGTGATAGTATAATGATTCCTTTTTTTGGTCAATCATGGGCTTGAATTCTGAGCCTGGGTGCTGTCAGTCCCTCAGTTCTTTAGCCCAGTGCTAGTGTTCTGCCACTTGAACCACAGTGCCACTTCCAGTTTTCTGATGGTTAATTGGAGATAAGAGTCTCACAGACTTTACTGCCTGGGCTGGCTTTGAACTACAATCCTCAGATCTCAGCCTCCTGAGTAGCTAAGGATTACAGGCATGAGCCACTGGTGCCCACCAATGATTACTTTTTATGTTGTCTATTTTTCATATTAAAAAAAGAATCTGAAAACAGATTAAACAATTTCAGTAGTATAATGGCATCCAGAAGTGTATAAATTGCAATCTTTCAAAACATGGTTAGGAATTCTATTTTTTTCTTTCAATATGTATAAATAGAGCTAAATTCTTTTGTTGTTGTTTGTTGTTGAGCTTGAATGCAGGGACTGGGTGCTGTCCATGAGCTCTTTTGCTTAAGGCTATTGTTCTTGTACCTTGAGTCAGAGCTCTACTTCTGGTTTTTGGTGGTTAATGGGAGATGAGAATCTCACAGATTTTTTTTTGCTTCCCAGGCTGGCTTTGAACAGTGATCCTCAGATCACAGCCTCCTAAGTAGCTAGGATTATAGGCGTGAGCCACCAGAGCCTGGCTAGAGCTAAATTCTTAATTCTGTCTTCTACTTTTTTGGCTTAGTGTGAGATTCCTTTTAAAACTGAATCCTACTTTTAGTCTTACTAGATGATTTATTGATTCTTATTCTGTGTGAAGGAAAACTAGTTGACTGACCTCCTAGTGTGTGTGCCTCATTTTAAGGGGACTTCAGTAGTGAAGGGCAACAGTCAAGTCCTAGAGTTCAGTTTGAAGTTGTGCTTTATTTTGAACTTGTAGGTCTTCCATGTGAATTAGTGACATATATTAGCCTCAAGTTTGAGGTTCAGCTTTCCTTCTCTCAGCCTTACTTCTCATCAGGAATGTGCAAAGCATTCTATGATGTGAAGCTCACATTTTCAGCTTCACTCATGAAGATTTGTGGTAATATATGTGAATATCTTGAAAAGGAATATTAGATACATATAAATTGTACACATTTATATACATTTAAAAATATTACAAATCCAAGTCATTTTTCCTTCTCCGTTTTCTCTTCTCTTTGAAGAATCAAGGATGAGGCCTTTTAGGAAGCAAGCAGATAGAACTTTTAAACCAGAAAGTTCATAAAAGGTGAATACAAATATTCATTTGTCTTCTAGAATGTTTAGTATTTCAGGTATGTAATATGTAATAGGTTTTTGACTAGGACCACATTTGTGTGGCTCTGACTGTTTATTAAATGAGTTAGCAGTGTACCCATAATCTCCTGACCTCACATGTGCAAGGGTGGGGCCCTGTGGCTTCCTCCTGCACCTCAGGCCACTGAGGTCCACATCAACCCTGTAGAGTTCAACCCCGACTTACTTAAGGTGGAGTGGGGGCTTCTGGAGGCGGCCAGTATGTTACAGCTGGATGAGGTCCCCACTGAGCTGGTTGAGGGTATGAATGCGATGAGGTGTTTCTAAGGAAGATGCACTGTGTGTTGCTGGAAGTGGACATTCTGGAGGGCACCCTGCAATGCCCAGAGTCTGGCGCAGGATCCCAACATGCTGAATGATGAAGATACTGAGAAGTAAACATGCCAGCCACACAGTATGACATTCTGTGGCCATGTGTATCTTTTTTTTCTTTTCTTCTTTCCTTCCTTCCTTCCTTCCTTCCTTCCTTCCTTCCTTCCTTCCTTCCTTCCTTCCTTCCTTCCTTCCTTCTTTCTTTCTTTCTTTCTTTCTTTCTTTCTTTCTTTCTTTCTTTCTTTCTTTCTTTCTTTCTTTCATGTATATTGTATTTTTACTAGTTGAGCCCCAACCTTGACCCATTAACACATGGGACACACACTTCTATAAGTATACACACACACACACACACACACACATATATACTATATATATGTATGTATGTATATACTATATGTATACTATATATGCTATATATGCATAGTATATATATATACTATATATATATATTTCTCATTAAGGTTCAAAACAACAAAAAAGTTGGCAGTGGAATAAATCTGGTAGTAAAATACTTGGTGACATTATAAAAGGCTGGAAATCTGAAGGAATGCAGAATTTTAAGTCTCATAAGTAATGTGGCTGCGCTGAAATCCAGTAATAATCAATAGTAAAGAATTTAAATATTATACTAGAGTGGAGAGGATAAAATATTGGTTGAAATGTGTGATGGAAATAGGTTTCTTGCTCCTAAAAATGAATGAATGGAAATAAATCAGTGTTAATCTGTTAATAGATTAAAGGAGAAGACCTGTTTGCCATTTTCTCTTCAGCTCCACTGAAGAAGACTTGGTAGCTTTCCCAGGTTTTCATCCTGAATAAAACCTGTTGGTCTCTTGAAAAAAAACAAAAAGATAGGACCTCTCTCCCTTTCCCTCTCTGTCTCTGTCTCTCTGTCTCTGTCTGTCTGTCTGTCTGTCTGTCTCTCTCAATCACACACACACACACACACAAATGTTAGCTATGAAACACCCAAATATTCATTCTTTCCTAGGTATTGATTAGACTTTAGCTGGAGTTAAAGATAAAGTGGAACATCTCATTTCCAAAACAGATGGTCAGGGCCCAATTTGAAGATTTATGAGTTTACACTGAAATGTTTATTCTTGTTTACACTAAAAATCTTGAATTTAAGAAGGATAACTAAGTTGGGTGCTGGTGTTTTTGTAATGCTAGCTACTCAGCAGGCTGAAATCTGAGGATTGCAGTTCAAAGCAACCTGGGCAAGAAAATCTGGAGACATCTCCAATTAACCAGCAAAAAGCCAGAAATGGAGGTAGGACTGAAATGGTAGAGAACCAGCCTTGAGCAAAGGGATAAGGCCCAGATTTGAATTCAAACATTAATTACTGGTACACATACAAAAAAGTATATTGTTTATTTCAGTGATTATCATAGAAGCAAGAGGACAGGAGAAGGCCTAAATCATAGTTGATGAAATGTCCTGATAAGTAAAGGAGATTTAAATGTTACTTGTGGGGGAAAGTAAGAGGCCTGTCTTTTTTTTTTTTGTCGGTCATAGGCTTGAACTCTGGGTTTAGGTGCTGTCCCTGTGCTCTTCATCTCAAGGTGAGCGCTCTACTGCTTGAGCCACAGCACCACTTCCAGTTTTCTAGTGGTTTTGGAGATAAGAGTCTCATGGACTTTCCTGCCCAGGCTGGCTTTAAACCACGATCCTCAGATCTCAGCCTCTTGAGTAGCTAGGATTACAGGCGTGAGTAACTGGTGCGTGGCTTAGGTCTGTCTTTTCTTGGACTTTCCACATGTAATTATGTGCCAAGGATGATTTTATTTTGCTCTCACTACCTTGGTGCAGGAGCTGACCTCTCTGGCCTTTTTAAGCTCAGTAGGAGACAATAGTACTGTAATTGCTCAAAAAACACATAATTAAAAGCAACAGACAAACTCAAGACACCTGTTTAATTTCAGTAACGGCAGATGAGCTATGGAAGGGTGCTTTAGCAGAGACCGGTGCTGGAGCAAGAAAAGGAAGAGGCAAAAGAACTAAGAAAAAGAGAAGAAAGGATTTGAACAGGGGTCAGATCATCGGTGAAGGTAAACTTATTTATGAAGACAGCGAATATGGTTATAAAGTGTTTTTCCCCCAGATTTTGTATGAGCTAGGAACATTAAAACATTTCTCATGGAGGGCAGGATCTCACTAATGATCCATGGTTTTAGGGGCATTTCCCCAGGTCTGCAGGGGAGGAAATTCTAGAGAAAGAGATACATTCAACCAGTTGCTTATTCAAGAAGCATTAGGTATCCTTGCATGGCAGTCCTTGCACACTAAGAACTTAAAACTCAGTGGTAGGAGAATGGAGTAAGTGGAGAACTGGCAAATTATTTCTGCAAAGAAAAGATGGTGGTTATTTTCAGCTTTGAGAGCTACACGATTTGTTGTAAGAGCTCAGCCTTGTTCTTGTAGCATATATACAGTGCATAATTGAATGGGCATACCTGTATTTTTCTATTCTTTGTAAGTTATTATTTTTATTTGTGTTTGTACTGGTGCTTGAGCTCAGGGCCTTTGCTCTTGCTTGGCTTTCTTGCTCAAGGCTGATGCTCTACCATTGAGTCATGCCTCTAGCCCTATAATTGTTTTAATCAAACCTCATTACAAAAGTAAGTAGTAGGCTGTATTTGGTCTCTGGGCCTTTCTTTGCTGATTCCTATATATTGTTTGTATTTGTGCATTTTCTTTGTCTCTTTTTTTTTTTTGGATCCGGTCGTGGGGCCTGAACTCTGGGCTGGGGCGCTGTCCCTCAGCTCTTCAGCTCAAGGCTAGCGCTCTACCACTTGAGCCACAGTGCCACTTCCGGCTTTTTTTTTTTTTTTGCTTATGTGGTGCTGAGGAATTGAACCCAGAGCCTTATGTATGCAAGACAAGCGCTCTACCATTGAGCCACCTTCCCAGTCCTTTTTTGTTGTTTTTTACTGGAATTTAAACTCAGGGCTTTATACTTGCTAAACTGGTGTTCTACTACTTGAATCATGCTTTTAGCTCTGGTTTTTACTGGTTATTTTGGAGATGGCGTCTAACAGACTTTTCTGCCTGGGCTGGTCTTCTATTATCTTCAGAACTCAGCCTCCTGAGTAGCTAGGATTATTGATGTGAATCACTGATGCCTGGCTATGTGTGCTTTTTATCAAGAATGAAAATTGTGTGCTTGTATCAGCTCATTTCAGAAATAAAACATCTTGTACTATATCTTGTACTGTATAGTCTTTTTTTTTCAGTACTTAACTTGCTAGATACGTATTTTGCCGCTTGAGCATCTCTATTAGCCCTTTTTCTGTTGATTATTTTCAAGATAGGTTTCACTTTATAACCAGGCTTAGACTATGATCCTTCTATTTGTGATTCTCTATGTTGCTGAAATGAATGATGCACCACTGTGCCAACCATTGTGCTTCTACCCAAGTTGGGATGACAAGTGGCACCACATGTCCAGCCAACCCTCCCCCCCTCCCCCAGGCTGGCTCTAACTGTGATCCTAAGATCGTTGCCTCTCAAGTAGCTAGGATTTAAGTAGTTTTCTTGTATCTTATATTTTGTTTATTTGTGTTTTTCTTTTTTGAGATGGCCTTTGCTATATTACCCAAGCTGGTCTTTCATATTTGTAAACTCAAACGATCCTTCTACCCTAGCCTCCCTCATAGCTGGGACTACAGGAATGAATCACCATGCCTTGCTAACATTTACTTTCTATTTCTTTAAGTTCATATATATATACACATACATCTATATGTATATACATATATATAGTTAAAAAATGTAAGAATTATAGAGAAAGCTGAAATCCACTTTATGCTTTTTTTTTTTTTTTTTGTCAGTCATGGGTCCTGAACTCCGCCTGGGTGCTGTTCTTCAGCTCCTCAGCTCAAGGCTAGCACTCTACCACTTGAGCCATAGTGCCACTTCTGGCTTTTTCTGCTTATGTGGTGCTGAGGAACCGAACCCACGACCTCATGCATATAAGGCAAGCACTCTACCACTGAGCCACCTTCCCAGCCCCAACTTTGTACATTTTTTATTACCCCCAGGCCCATTGTCTCCCCTGGGAAAACCACTGCTCTCATTTTGGTATGTTTCTTTTAGTGTTTTTAAAAATGCTTTTATATGAATGCCTTAAAAAACATACATTTTATTTTATCTAAAGATAATTATACCGTATGGTATATTTTTCTTACAACTTAGTTTGTCAGTCAATAAGAGGTCTTGGAAATTAGTTCCAGGCAGACTATTACATATATTGAATGTGAGCCATTCTACTTATTGCTGGTCATTGAGACTGCTAGCACTGTTTGCTTTTGTTGATAACATTTTAGTGGACTTCTTGTCCAGGCATGCTTATGCCTTGTACCTATATGGGAGTCACAGGTAATAATGTGAACTGGAATTACTAGCTTGTAGGTAAATATATTTGCAATTTTGATAGTATTAGGTGATCTATAAGTGACCATTTTAGCTTATGTTCCCACTAAAAGCATGTTGATATCTGTACATGCATTTACTGGGAATTCTAATACTTGAAAATGAATGCTTTTTAAAGATTGTATTACTTATATTTTTAAACCTTCAGGACATTATGGTTTCCTCTGGCCTGGTCTGAATGTTCCTCTTATGAAAAATGGAGCAGTACAGACCATTACCCAAAGAAGCAAGGAAGAACAGGAGAAGGTAGAAGCTAACATGTTTCAACAGAGAGAAGAGTGGGACCGGAAGAGGAAGATAAAAGTAAAACGGGATCGAGGCTGGAGTGGAAACACGTGGGGAGGCGTCAGTCTTGGTCCCCCTGATCCTGGTCCTGAAGGAGGTAGCAGAGTCCTGGTTCTATTTGTCTGTGGAAAAGAGGGCTTTTAATTCTAGAATGTGTTTTGAAATTATTCTATTTGCTTGTTTAGATGGCTTCTTCAAAAAAAGGATTTGTGCATTTTTTTCTAACATCACATTATTACCCAAATTATATTCTATGGAACAACAGAGGCCTATTAAAATAAAAAAAAAAGTGTTTCTCTAACAAGATAAAAATTTTATATAAGAAATTAAAAAAAAATAATATGAAAAGTATTTGAAAAATGGCTTCTTGAGCCAAGAGATAGTGAACCAAAAGTATGTAGAAGGCCACGGAGCAGCAGAGAGGACGTGATGGAATTGGAAACTGGATTTGAGTGGCTTGAGTATGAATTGTGCTTTGACTTAAGTCCAGCAGCACCCAGTGTGAACAGGTAGTTGTACAGATTCAGGCTTGGGAATGGGAGGGAGAGAAAAGGGTGAGGGAATTTGGGACATTCCCAAGATCTTGTAGCAATGATGGGCTTTAGTATCTTGGTCAATAGGGAGAATCTGTGAAGATGGGAGGGGATCAGGTGGGACAACAGTGATTGAGGGCCTGGTAGTGCTGGGGAGCTTCAGGATCCATTGTGCTGGGGGTTGATGAGTGAGGGAGCTGGTGAGGGGAAGGATGAGTGACCCAGCCATGGATTCAGAACACTCTCTGTTCAAGATGTTAGAGTGGACATGTCCTTGAGAGTGGCCCCAAAGACCTTTCTAATTTAAAAGTCTTGGACACCACCTGTGTTGAAAAATGATTTCATACATTTAGTACAGACATGTTTATCTGTGTGCTTGTTTCTTTCCTTCTAGAAACGTATGATGATTTTGAAACCAGGGTACTTGAGGTAGGCATGCTGAGTTAAATACCCAGTTAATCTTTGGAGTGGGTGGGGTTGGGGCAGAACAACAGGACCTGGGAGGAAAAGTCTTTATGATAATTTCTCTGATGCTGAACTACATAAGGAAATAATGAAACTTTAACTTCATTTACTTGAGAGCATGCTTTTAATTCTAGCACTCAGGAAGATAGGAGGATTGGAAGTTCAAGGTCAGCCTGAGCTATATACAGAGACAGTGTCACCAAAAAAAAGGAAAAGAGAAAAATTTACTAACTCTCCTAACTGCTACTGTTTTTTTTTTTAGGACTACCAAATTGAATTTTAAACAAGGCAACTTCTGTGGTATAGTTAATAAAATATGGAGATTGTGTTTAACTTTTCTCCCTCCTGAAACCAAAGGAGCATTAACATTCTGTCATTGAGTTATATACAGCTGAATCTAACACTGAAGTCAGAGAGCAGAGATGGGGCAGAGCAGGGACCAGGGGTAGATAGCTTAGGGTTGAGTGACTATCTAGTTTTGCTGAAGATATGGCTGCTCACACAAGCCCTTGAAACTGAATCCTGTATGAAGTAAACTTCAGGTCCCCTTTCTAGGACATCCTCTAAGATAGTCAATATCCCTTTTATTTGACACTACCTATCTAATCTATTAGCATGTAGAATAATGGTTGGTTGAGTTTGTGATGAAACCTCTTCGAGTATATGTATTATTTCTTCTGTCAGTTGCTGTCTAGATTTTAGAGTATGTTCACAAGTATTTTAGGTTAAGTTCTTAGTTTATATTTGTTTTTTTGTTTGTTTGTTTGTTTTTTGTCTGTTGTGGGGGCTTGAACTCTGGGCCTGGGCACTGTCCCTCAGCTCTTCAGCTCAAGGCGAGCGCTCTACCACTTGAGCCACAGCACCCACTTCTGGCTTTTTCTGTGTATGTCATGCTGAGGAATTGAACCTAGGGCCTCATGCATGCGAGGCAAGCATTCTACCACTAAGCCACTTTCCCAGCCCAGCTTACTGTTTTTGAAAGCTAATCTGTTTGAAAAGTTCTTGTGCATGTAGGTAGTTTTCTGTAAGATTATTCACCAGAGTGGACTCATTTCCCTTTTTCTTTCATATATATTCTTTTTAATTACTTTTTTTTCTGGTCCTGAGGCTTGAACTGTAGGCCTTGGCTCAAGGCTTTTGTGCTCAAGGCTAGCACTTGAACCACAGCTCCTCTTCTGGCTTTTTGAGGTAAATTAGAGATAAGAGTCACAGACTATTCTGCCAGGGCTGGCCCTTTTCCTTTTATAGAAAAGGGATACCATGGTCAAAGAAGCAACTGCCGCATAAACCATTTAGTTATCAGTTTTATAGTTTTGGCCTTTGAAATAGGCTCCAAACAAAAATCTACAGGTTTTCTTGTAGTTCATAAAAAGCAGATGTTTCTAGATTTTCTGTTTTCTATTAAGTAGTCCTCAGCATAAGAGATCAGTCTTGTACAGTTATTTCTGTATGCTGTATTTCATCTTTTCTAAGTTATGTAGCATTGCTGGTATTGGAATGTATCTTGTAACCATTCCAGTGTAATCCCTTACTTCTTCCTTTCCTGTGGTATATTTATTAAGATAGGCTATATAGCATTGTATAGTGTCACATTCCTTTAACTATTATCACAGGATTGGAGGTATGACTCAGGTGATAGAATAGTAGCCATGAGCAAGCAAGTCCAGCAAGTACATGGACTTGAGTTGAAGCCCTCATTCCGTCTAAACCTTTCCTCCCCCCCACCCCCCCACCCCCCACATTATTATAGTTGAATCCTGTAATAACTTTGACACAGAATTGGGAAGCCTTGTTTCCATTCTCTTCCTGAGAAAACAGTGAAGGTGATAGTTGTATTGGAAGGAAGCTGTTTATGCCTGAAGAATAAGAGAAGGAGCATGCCTAGGAGGGGAGCATGCCATGCATCATGTACATGTATGAGGGAGATAGGCAGGTCCTACTTAGACCTCTACTTTGGAATTATCTTGAGGAATATTACTGATAAGATGTTTTTGTCTTTTAGGTAAAAAATGTCTTCAATATGACAGCGAAGGAAGGCAGAAAGAAATCAGTCCGTGTCCTGGTTGTTGTAGGGAATGGAAAAGGAGCTGCAGGTAAATGGGGTGTGGAACCACACGTGGTGGTGGAGCCAAAGCCTGGCCTGCTGCTTAAACTCATAGTAGTTGGGCCCTTCAGATAGAAAGACTAGTACTGCCTTTGTTTTTCCTCTGAGGACAGTGGAGACTTTGAAAAGCTTAAGATGTATAATCAAAATTTAGAGGGAAAAACACTATGCGCATGTGCAGTAGGATCACAAAATAGTTACAAAAATAGTATATATACAATGTACTATTGAATAGTGAACTTATACAATAATGCTAAAAGTACTTAATATAATAATACTAAGCTGGGTGCCGGTGGCTCACGCCTGTAATCCTAGCTACTCAGGAGGCTAAGATCTGAGCATCTCGGTTCAAAGCCAGCTCGGGGAAGGAAAAGGCTGTGAGACTCTTATCTCCAATAAACCACTAGAAAAACCGGAAGTGGCACTGTGGCTCAAGTGGTAGAGAGCTGGCCTTGAGCTGAAGAGCACAGGGACAGCGCCCAGGTCCAGAGTTCAAGCCCCACAACTGACAAAATAAATAAATAAAAATAAAATAAAAAACATATATTAATACTGATAAAATTTTTAGGGACGAGTGTTATTTACTTATTTATTGGGGTTTGAAATTAGGATCTTGTGCTTGTTAAGAAGGTACTCTACCACTTAAAACATCTTTATCCCATTTTTGTGCTAGTGGATAAGATTTTGAATTTTTGCCTTGGGATTGCTTTGGACTGTGATTTACCTACCTCTGTGCCCCATACCTGGCTTGTATGAGATGAGGTTTCACTAAATTTTTATCTAGGATGTCCTCAAATTACAAGGCTTCCCAGTAGCTGGCACTAGAGATGTGTGTTGCCATACCTGGCCCAATTAGTTTTGCTTATTATTTAAATGTTATTCTTTATGCTATTCTGTGAAACTTCCAGTAAACATTTGTTTTTGAAATGCCTTCCATACATGTTGAAGAAAAAGAAAAGTAGAAAGCTGCTAGCTAGTCCTAAATAAAAGTGATACATATAGTACATTGCTGTAACACGTCACATTTAACAGTAACTTTTGTATCTTTTCAAAAATTTACATTCATATTATCATGAAAGGATCATATTACAGTCATGAGTTTGTGTTAGTTTTTCTTGCTTAGTGTTTTACTCAGATTTTATATTTACATAGATTTCATTCTTTATACTGGTTATATAGTGTTTCATTATATGGATAAACATGTTTTTTATTATCTTTTCCTTATTGCTAAATATGTTGAAGCCAAAGTTTTATGTTAATAAAAAACAGTGAGCTTCTTATACATATAGTCGTGGTATTTTTGCAGGTAAGAGCCATGGGGGAAATTTATGTTTTATTTTGTTTTTTGACCACAAGTATGTTTTAACCCAGGGCCTAGTACTTGGCCAAGTAGGTTCCATACCACATTAGACACACCCCCAGATATAACAAGGGGCATTCCTTGCAGTGCATTTGAAATTGCTGCCCCAGTACATTTACATGTTGATCAGTTTTTCCTGGGTTCATTTTCCTCTACACCATCATCTCCTTGCTCAAGATAGTATATAAACTTTTCTAATCATTAATATGATATGCAAAACTTAGCTCTTAATTTTGATTTGTGTTTCTGTAATTATGAGGATGTGGACACTATTTTATATGCTATTAGCCATTGTTATTTCCTCTTTGAGAGCTGTTACTCAGCAAGGTTTTTGGGGTTTTTTGATGTGGTCCTGAGACTTGAACTCGGGTCCTGGGCACTGTCCCTGTTGTGCTCAAGGCTTCCAATCTACCACTTAGACCACTTTCCACTTCTTGCTTTTTGGCAGTTAATTGGAGATTAGCGTCTCAAAGACTTTCCTGCCTGGGCTGTCTTCTTTTTTTTTTTTTTTTTGTCGGTTGTGGGGCTTGAACTCTGGGCCTGGGCGCTGTCCCAGTGCTCTTCAGCTCAAGGCGAGTGCTCTACCACTTGAGCTACAGCGCCACTTCCGGTTTTCTGGTGGTTTATTGGAGATAGTCTCACGGTCTTTCCTGCCCGGGCTGGCTTTGAACCGCGATCCTCAGATCTCAGCCTCCTGAGTAGCTAGGATTAGAGGCGTGAGCCACCAGCGCCCGGCGCCTGGGCTGTCTTCAAACTTCAGTCCTCAGATTTCAGCTTCCTGAGTAGCTAGGATTTAGGTGTGAGCCATTGGGCCTGGCACTTAGAATATTGTTACTGGGTGATTGTTGTTTTCCTATTAATTGGCACGAGCCTTTTCTAAGTTAAAGACATGTTAGCTCTTGTCTAGCAGACATTTTGACTTCATTTTTAATGTTCTTTATCTAGAAGTTTCAGTCATTTATGTAGCAAATTAATTCTGATTTTATGTTTAACTTAGTCTCCAGTTGATGATTATTAATTAGCTCACTTATATTTTCTCTAGTGCTAACATGATTTAAACTAGGGTGGAATTCAATCTCTTGCATATGTCATGTTTACACTTGATACATTCCTGTGTAGAATTTAAAAACTAAGTGTAATCATCAAATTCAGTATTAAATGATGACAAGTGATGTGCTTATTTCTGTATCTTGTAATGAGCCTCATTTCCAGCACTTACCACTCACAGAGCTATTATCTTTTATTTCCTGGCTAGACTCCACTTCAAATTTCTAGTGAAATCATGACTTTAAAGCAATGTACTTTTGTTGTTGGTGGTGGTAGTGGTTGTAAGGCTTGGGTGCTATCACTGAGCTCTTTTGCTCAAGGCTAGCACTCTTACACTTTGAGCCACAGCTCCACTTCCGGTTTTCTGATGGTTAATTGGAGATAAAAGTCTCAAAGACTTTCCTGCCTGGGCTGACTTTGAACTGCAATCCTCAGATCTCAGCCTCCTGAGTAGCCAGGGTTATAGGCATGAGTCACCAGTTCCCAGCTTAAAATCATGTATTTTAATCTGTTTCCCAAAGTGTCCAAAACACTTGCCTTATTGATTTGATCATATGTAATTTTTAAAGGTGAGTGTATTTCATTAGAGATATATAAAAGATAATGTTAAGAATATAACTTTGAATCTCATAAATACATCCACATGTAAAATTTTTCAGAATGCCTTCAATTGACACACAAATCTCATCTTGACATTTGGCATTGGCTTGGACAGTGAGCTCTGTGGGCAAGAGAAATATTGAGGAAATACTGTAAGGGCCAGACTGGGAATAGAATTTAAGGCTTATTATTTGAAATCAACATAAATAGCAATAAGGGAAAGGTTACAAGAATGTTTATCCATACTATAGAACACTGTGTAACTGGTACAAAGAATTCCATCTAGTATGTTTATCCATACTATAGAATACTATGTAACTGGTACAAAGAATTCCCCTTTTCATATTTTTGTCTTCTCAAGGTTTTGCTGTTGGGAAAGCTGCTGATCGGACAGATGCTTTCAGGAAGGTATATACTTTGTTCACTTAGTAAAGAGATAATATGTGTGTTAGACACCATGGGAACCACCAAAAGAAAAAAGAATATGTCCCAGAACCTTCTCATGACTCTTACTTCTCTCACACAAAGCCATTCTAAAGTGCCTCTGTTGTTACATCACTGTTACCACACTAACGATTGCTTATCAAAATTACTGTTTTTTTTCAATTTTTTGAATATGTTTATTATCTTTAAGTAATTGTACAAAGGAATTGTCATTCACCAAAGTAGTTTATTAATACAGTGCCTCTTGATCAGCATTACCCCTTTCAACATTCTCCCAACCCACCCTTTCTGTCCCTCACTTACCTTTTTTTAATTTATTTTTTTTTCTTTGTAAGTTGTGAGGCTTGAACTCGGGGCTTGGGCGCTGTCTCTGAGCTCTTCAGCTCAAGGCAAGCACTCTACCACTTGAGCCACAGTGCCACTTCTGGTTTTCTGGTAGTTAATTGGAAATAAGAATCTCATGGACTTTTCTGCCTGGGCTGGCTTTGAACTGTTATCTTTAGATCTCAGCCTCCTGAGTAGCTAGGATTACAGACATGAGCCACCAGAGCCCAGCCCTCACTGATCTTAATTTTAGCTTATGTATTGATTTTTTTTTTGTACACAGGCCCTGAAGAGTTCAAGCCCCATGATGGACAAAAAAAAAGTAGTTTATGTCTGCAGTGCATCTTGATCTGTGTCATCCCTTCAACATCTTCACCTCTCTTTGTTTGACCCACTCCTTCCCTTACATTTCTCAATTTAGTGTTATATACAATGAATTCTTCTTGCCTGCATTCTCCCCCCTCCTGCCCCCCACCCCGCCCCGCTTAGTTCTTCTACACTTCTCCCCTTGGCCCCACCTTCCCATCTGTTACACACGTTGATTAACTCATTTGTAAACCCTTGCTCACAACCCAGTGTGTTTCCTTGTAGATTATAGGCACATTCTAGCTACCACAAAGGAGGGGAACCATGCAACTTATGTTTCTCTGAGTCTGTCTTACTTCACTTAATATAATTTTTCTGTCATTCCATTTCCTTACAGATGGTACAGTATCATTCTTTCTGATGAATGAGTAAAATGGACTACAATTTTTTATAGGTGAAACTTTTTTTAAAATAAGTTTTTATTGTGAAAATACTGTACAGAGAGGTTACAGTTACGTAAGCAAGATAATGAGTACATTCCTTATCAAGCATTGTTGCTTCCTCCTTTATTTTTCCCCTACCACTCCCCCACCCCCCGCTTAAATTGTAAAGTTTGATTTTCAACATAGCATCATGTACATCTCATTGTTGCAGTGGGTCAACCTGTGTCCCTATTTAAACAATTTGTTTTTTTTTTCCTTTCCCTCCCCAAATTATACCATAGGTGAAATTTTTTTATAATAAAATATTTTGTAAAAGGTACTTTTGAAATCCAACAAGAAGCCAAGCATGATTACACACAACTGTAATTGCAGTAGGCAGGAAGATTGTGAATTAAATGCCAGCCTGAGCTATTATAACAAATTTCAGTGAGCTTGGTATATATAATAAGGCACTGTCTCAAAGACAAAACAGACTTGAAGGGTTGGGTGAGGTTAGGATAGATGAGAGGATGGAGATCATAGAAGGTATGACATTGATTGAATGCATTGTATCATAAATTCATATGTTAAATTGAAACCCCTTTGTACAATTATTTAAAGATAAAAAGAAAAAAATCCAACAGATTTTTTTTAATGTGGTAAGACATAACTAGCTCAACAGGAGATTTAAGAAAGTATGTTTCCTTCTTTTCTTTAGGCAAAGAACAGAGCAGTTCACTATTTGCATTTTGTAGAACGATATGAAGACCACACAAGTGAGTGTTGGGCTTTTCTTCTAAAATTTGCAGGATTATTCCCTTATAGTATGTCTGGCAATATATCTGTCTTTGACTATGTTAATGTTTCTCTGTTACTACATTCTTAAAAATGTATAAAGTGTAGGAACAAACAATCTGAGGAGATTAGTACAATGAGGGAGAGCAGAGTTTGTTGATCTTTGGCCAGTGTGTGTTGCTGTGCAGGGTGGTATGCACTGCTTTATGACTTTGCAAAGACATTAAAGCCACACACCTAATCCTGTTTGTGTTTGTTTTTATCCTGCAGTATTTCATGATATTTCACTAAGATTTAAAAGAACACACATCAAGATGAAGAAACAACCTAGAGGTAACACTTACTATTTTTGTTCCCCTCCACTATTTTTGTTCCCCTTTACCTGAACTTACCTTGAAAACACTAGAACAGAAAGGCATAAGTTAAGAGAAACTGCAGATCTAAACAGCTGCATAGATCAACTAGATTTAACAGATATCTACTGAACATTTCACCCAGCAGCATCAGAATACACATTTTTCTCAGCAGCACATGGAACATTTTCTAAAATAGACCACATTTTAGGCCACAAAGCAAACTTGTCTAAATTCAGAAACATTGAAGTTATACCTTGCATTCTCTCTGACCACAAGGGAATAAAATTAGAACTCAACACCAAAAGCCACCAAAGAAAGTCCGGTATCACATGGAGGCTGAACAACACACTGCTGAATCAAGAGTGGGTCATGGAAGAGATTAGAAAGGAAATTTAAATGTTCAAATGTTCATGCTATTCAACAAAAATGAACACACAAATTACCAGCTCCTTTGGGACACAGCAAAGGCAGTACTCAGAGGCAAGTTTATAGCTCTGAGCTCCTACATCAACAAATTGGAGAGATCTGAAACCAACAATTTAATGACACATCTAAACCTCCTTGAAAAAGAACAGCAAGATAAACCCCAATCCAGTAGACGGAAAGAAATAATTAAAATTAAATCAGAATTAAATGAATTAGAATCCAAAAAAACTATAGAAAGAATCAACAAAACAAAGAGTTGGTTCTTCGAAAAAATTAACAAAATTGACAGACCCTTAGCAAATCTTATCAGAAAAAGAAGAGAACACACCCAAATAAATAAACTCAGAGATGAGAATGGAAACATCACCACAGAAATGACCAAGATTCAGAACATTATAAGGGAATACTTCTCAAAACTTTATGCTAATAAGTTTGAGAACTTGACAGAAATCGACCTTTTCCTAGCAAATATTGACATGCCAAAACTAAACCAAGATGAGTTAAACCAGCTTAACAGGCCCATATCAAGCATTGAAATAGAAACAGCAATAAGAGACCTTCCAGCTAAGAAAAGTCCAGGACCAGATGGTTTAACAGCAGAATTCTACAAGGCCTTCAAAGCAAGCTCACACCAATACTCCTCCAATTCTTCAATGAAATTGAAAGAGAAAGTTCACTACCGAACACATTCTATGAAGCCATCATAACCCTCATCCCAAAACCAGGCAGGGACTCATCAAAGAAAGAGAACTGTAGACCCATTTCTTTGATGAACATTGATGCAAAACTTCTCAACAAAATTTTGGCCAATCGACTTCAACAATTCATCCAAAAAATCATACACCACGATCAAACAGGATTCATTTCAGGGATGCAAAGCTGGTTCAATATACGCAAATCAATTAATATTATTCATCACATCAACAGGAGCAAGAATAAGAACCACATGGTTATCTCAATAGATGCAGAAAAAGCATTCGACAATATCCAACACCCTTTTATGATGAAGGTTTTGGAAAAATTAGGAATCCATGGAACATTCCTCAATACAATAAAGGCTGTATATGACAAACCTACAGCCAGCATTATACTTAATGGTGAAAAACTAAAGCCATTTCCTCTTAACTCAGGAACAAGACAAGGATGTCCACTCTCTCCACTTCTCTTCAACCTAGTATTAGAATGTCTAGCTACAGCAATAAGACAAGATGCAGACATAAAGGGGATCTAAATAGGGAAAGAAGAAATAAAACTCTCCCTCTTTGCAGATGACATGATCTTATATTTAAAGAATCCCATAGACTCCACTCCCAAATTACTCAAGCTGATTCAAAACTTTGGCAAAGTAGCAGGGTATAAAATTAACCCCCCAAAATCAATGGCTTTTCTGTATGCCAACAATGAGAAAAGTGTGGCTGAAATTAGGAAAGCAACTCCATTTGTAATAGCCCCACAAAAAATAAAATACCTAGGAATTAACTTAACCAAAGAAGTGAAGGACCTCTATGATGAAAACTTTAAAATCTTGAAAAAGGAAATTAAAACAACTTAGAAAATGGCAAAACCTCCCATGCTCCTGGATTGGAAAGATTAACATCGTGAAAATGGCAATACTTCCCAAGGCTATCTACAAATTCAACGCAATACCTATCAAAATTCCAACCTCATTCTTCAAGGAAATAGAAGAGGCAATCCAAAAATTCATATGGAACAATAAAAGACCCCGGATAGCAAAAACGCTCCTCAACGGAAAGAATACTGCTGGAGGAATATCAATACCAAATTTCAAACTCTACTATAAAGCCATAGTAATCAAAACAGCTTGGTATTGGCATAAGAACAGACCTCAGGACCAATGGAATAGAATTGAAAACCCAGAAATGAACCTACAGACCTATAGCCATCAAATCTTCGATAAGGGAGCTAAAACAATAGAATGGAAGAAAGACAGCCTCTTCAGTAAATGGTGCTGGCAAAATTGGTTAACTACTTGTAGAAAACTAAAAGCTAGATCCTTATATATCACCCTGCACCAGAATCAACTCCAAATGGATCAAAGACCTCGAAGTCAAAGCAGACACTCTGAAAACATTACAGGATGGAATAGGAGAAACCCTAGGTCTCCTTGGCTCAGGCCAAAATTTTCTGAATAGAGACCCAGAAACACAACAAATCAAAGAAAGGTTGGACAAATGGGATTGCATGAAGTTGCAGAGCTTCTGCATGGCAAAGGACATAGCTAGCAAGATCAATAGAAAGCCCACGGATTGGGAGAAGATCTTCACTAGCCATACAACAGACAAGGGTCTCATATCTAAAATATACTTGGAACTCAAAAAATAAAATCCCCCAACAACAAATCTTCAAAGAAACAACTGCCCAATAAATAAGTGGGCTAAAGACTTAAAGAGAAACTTCTCTGAAGAAGAAAGAAGGATGGCCAATAGACACATGAAGAAATGCTCAACATCCCTAGCCATAAAAGAAATGCAAATCAAGACAACATTGAGATACCACCTCACTCCAGTTAGAATGGCAAAAATCAAGAACTCTTATCAACAACAGATGCTGGAGGGGATGTGGGCAGAAGGGAACCTTACTTCATTGGTGGGAATGTAAACTTGTTCAACCACTTTGGAAAGCAGTATGGAGGTTCCTCAAAAGACTTCACATAGAGCTCCCCTATGACCCAGCAATCCCACTTTTGGGCATTTACCCAAATGTTTACAAACAAGACCACACTAAAGCTACCAGCACAACTATGTTTATTGCAGCATTATTTACCATAGCTAAGATATGGAACCAGCCCAGATGCCCCTCAGTAGATGAATGGATCAAGAAAATATGGTATGTATACACAATGGAATTCTATGCCTCCATCAGAAAGAATGACATTGCCCCATTTGTTAGGAAATGGAAAAACTTGGAAAAAATTATATTAAGTGAAGTAAGCCAGGCCCAAAGAAACATTGGTCCCATGGTTTCCCTTATTTGCAATACCTAGTATTTGTATGAGTCAAGTGGAAAAGGTCAGATAATGTGATGTTAGGAAAATGAATCCTTAGATATGTATTTTAATGTTTTTTTTCCTTTCATGCATTTGCTTCTAACGCATTTATAAGATTATCTATTTGTAGCTTTGTATGTCCCTCCCCCACAGTATAACCCCTGCTTTCACTATATTTGATGTCAGTATAACTTGTAGAGGAGATGGGGAAAAACAAGTCGTTTAAGGATACAGGTGGACCTGTTGCAACAATGAGAAGTACAAGTTGTCATGTGGAAAACGAGCTTTACAATGTTGGTGTGTGGGGGGGTGTGGGGCGGGGGAGGGAAGCGGGGAGGATTGGGGGGGGGGGGGTGGGAGGGAGGCTGGGAAGGGATGTGAAGGGTAAACAAAGGAGGAGGCTGCAATGCTTGATAAGAAATGTACGCATTAACCTGCCCATGTAATTGTAACCCCTCTGTACAGTGTGTTCACAAAAAAATAAAAAATAAAAATAAAAAAAAGAAAGGCATAAGTTAGGTGTAAGAACAATGAGGCTTTTGCAGAAATAAATAATAGTCAAGCTGTACAAGCTTCTGTGAACACTGTATGTTCTAGAATAATTCTAGACAGGAAGAGCATGTTGGAAGTTGAGCACAGCAACTGAGAGGGTGGTTGGGTTTGGATGAGTGGGAATAATATTAGTTTCCCCTAGAGAATCCACCATTGCCAGTATTTTCTGTTTTGATGGCGTGTTGAATTCTAGTTATTTTCTTTAATTTGGTGCTTGGATCAAACCAAGTTTTCCTGCATGCTAAGCACATGCTCTCTATCATTGAGCTTCATCCCAAACCTCTTCATTGTAGTCTTGATTGACCAGGTTATGAGATATGAATGGATCAAGGCAGTGGGATGAAGAAATGGTCCTTCCTGTCTCATGGATGAGCAGACAGGCAGAGTTGGAGATGGAGCTGTGATAACATGACTCTGGGTGTAGGACTCTTACACATTTGGATCACATTTGGATTTACATTTCACCTGTTTTATTGTTTTTTTTTTTAAACCAGTCCTGGGGCTTGAACTCAGGGCCTGGGTACTGTCTCTGAGTTTCTTTTGCTCATGGCGAGCACTTGACCACTTGAGCCACAGTGTCACTTCCAGCTTTTTGTGTGTTTTTGGTACTGAGGAATCGAACCCAGGCATCATGCATGCTAGGCAAGCACTCTACCCCTGAGCCACCTGTTTTATGTAAAACGTTAGAGTCTAAACTCAGGTCTTTTACTCTCCCTCATGCCCACTTGCATTGGATGGGTGCTGATCTAAGCTCTGGAGATACAGTATTGTGGTCATCACAGAGTCCACATTCTACTGAAGGGATCTCCTTGAGTGCCTGAATTGCCATCTCAGCACTGTTAGAGCTGGTGGGGGAGAATGATGTTGTCAGAGAAGGACTCAGGAACAATTTGAGTGAGACCTTGAAGAGGAGAATGAGTGAAGGTGGCAGGACTAGGCTATGGGAAACCCCAGCTGTAAAATCCCCAAGATGGAAAAGCCAGTGGGAAAGAGGACATGTGTTTTCATGAGGGCAGCCAGATATGTAGGGTTCAGGGATGGAGGCCTTTGTAGGCTATGGAGTTTTTTATTTTATATTTTTTCATTTCAATTCAGAGAACAATAGGAAGTAAGGAGCTTTAACAGGGAACAAAGTGTTGGGTCTATGTGGAGAAGGGATTGCAGATTTACAGATGGATAGGAGTAGGGCAGATAGGAAGACACCCAAGACTTGGGGAGATGAATGAGGTGAGCAGCCAGGTCAAAAACCAGGCAAGAGTGGAAGGAAATGGACATCTCTGCTCAGTGTTCCTAAGCACAGGTTGCAGATGTGTCCCTCTACTCTTGGTTAGCATGGGCATGGCATGTTGAGAGCCTTTAGGCAATACCTGAAGTTTCCATTAGTAGCCCTGGTGTAGATACATCTACTCTGCCCTATAGGATTCCATTGACATAAGCATCATCTTGGAATTAAGCGCATTAAGGGTCACTTGGTTGGGAAGTGGTGAAGCCAAAATGTGAATCCCTAAACCCAGGGCCCTCATATTTATGAAAGCTAGAGGGTGAGTGACCCTTGTTGCAGGTAAGAAGGTGGGTGTTTTACTCAGTCTTCTTTTTACTAGGTTATGGCCTCCGCTGCCACAGGGCCATCATCACCATCTGCCGGCTCATTGGCATCAAGGACATGTATGCCAAGGTGTCTGGATCCCTCAACATGCTCAACCTCACCCGAGGCCTCTTCCATGGGCTCACCCACCAGGTAACCCCTTCCCCGAGTCCAAAACTGGTGTGTGTGTGTGTGTGTGTGTGTGTGTGTGTGTGTGTGTGTGTGTGTGTGTGTGTGTGTGTGTGTGTGTGTGTGTGTGTGTGTGTGTGTGTGTGTGTGTGTGTGTGTGTGTGTGTGTGTGTGTCTGTCACTGTGTGTGTCTGTCACTGTGTGTGTCTGTGTGTGTGTCTGTGTGTGTTAGTTCACAGTGTTCAGGGGCTACCTGAGGTAATGGCCATTATTTGCTGTCTGTGGCTGCATTAGATCAATCAGATCCATTGAGGAATTAATGAAAACCTTTGAACAAATACTTCAAGAGCTTTTGAAGTTAAAAGTCAGTATTTACTGTTTATATTTTAGTCTGAAAATAACATACTTCAGCTATACAGAAAGTAAGGCAAAAGGAGAAAGTCCCTTTCTTAACAGTCCTTTCAGTGAGACCTGGGTAAGCAAGAGATGTACAGTCAGACTTGCTGTTTCCTTCATGGGAAACTTGTACTCGCCCAATGACTGGGGTCTGTGAACATGTAAGTGACTTTTCCTGGGGTTGCTGTCCATTTTGGCCCAGGCCTGGTATACTTACTCCACTCCACTTAAGGGAAGGGCTGTGATTGCAGGGATCCTCCTGGCAGCCCTGAAACTTGATAGCAGGGAAGTCTTGCCCCTTAAGTGGATAGAGAGACATTGGAGGTAGATGAGCAGAAAGGACAGCAGTTTCACTAGGCTTCAAGTGGCCGAATTCTGCTAGTTGAATAATCTGAAACAAGAAAATTATTTAAAAGAAAAAGAAGGCTTTAGATAAAAAATGTTTTTTAAACAACTTATGTGTATGTTCATACTACCTAAAAAGAGCACTTTTACAATCACACCTACTGTTGGAGGATTCATTGTTTGATGTAACTAAACTGTTGGTTTTAAATAGGTCAAATTTATGATTCTATAACTTGTTCTTTTGTGTAATATTCTTGTTTTCTGTTAGCATTTTGAAACTTCTTACATAATTACCATGTGTCATCTCTTTTAAAAGGCCATCAGTTATAGCATTATAAAGTGCTACTCAAGCCAGATGCTAGTACCTCCAAACACCAGCAGCTCATGCTCCTAGCTAATCAGGAGGGTTAGATCTGAGGATCTTAACTATAAGACTTAGTTCTAATTAACCACCAAAAAGCTGGTAAATGGAGTGGTGGCTGAAGTGGTAGATTGTTAGCCTTGAGCAAAAAAGCTCAGGGACAGTGCCCATGCCCTGAGTTTAAGCCTAGGACCAGCACAAAAAATTAAAAAAAAAAAATAATGAGCCACTCAGTAAAAAATGCTACCAGTTAAAGTGGTATCCTTTTGATTTATGACAACAAATTAAAATAATTTAATTTTACTATGAAAACAGCTCATCTTTTTTCTAATTTTACTTACAGAATTAGAGTAGTATAAAATGGCTATAATGTCTGAAAACACAGAGTTGAACATTTCAGGTATTTTAAAGTACCCTCTCACCCAGCTCACAACTGGTCTTTTTTCTCACTACCATCCTACCTAGCTTTGATTATTCAGAACCAACTTTCAGACATACATTTTATTTTATCTATGAATATTTCACTCTATTTCTAAAAAATGAAGACTAACATATACTTCACAGTACTAAAATTCAATAATGACAGTGTTGTACAGATTCTGAGTTTTAGGTAAGTAAATGAAACCAGGATTTAGACAGATGTCAAGGTAGAAATGATGGTCATGCTTTATTCAAAGCTGTCTGTCTACAGAGCCATCATTAGCAATAGCAGCAGTAGCCTAATAGCAGGGCATGCTTTATATTCCTACCAGTCTCAAGGTGGTAGTATGCAATATTACCTAAGGTAGGGAATGCATACATATGACTCATAGTTACATAAACATGCTAAATCAGCTGAATCATAGGCAGACCAGACCAGAAGTCCTCCAGAAGCTACAGGGAGGGAGCCTAATTTCCTCCATTTATTTTTCACTTGGTCGCATCAAATATCCAGTTTTCATAAAGGTATATCCAGTTGTGAGAGTTAAAATTTTTTTCACACAATTTGCGTTAGATTGCAGAAAGGCCAATACAGCAATTGGGTTGTTTTGTAGTATTTCCCAGTCTGGTGCTACTTAAACCTGTGGAGACTTTAATGTTTTCTCTGCCTTGTATTTTCTGTAAATGGGTTGTTAGATCTAGAGGCTTGAGAGATTCAGATTCAGGTTTTGGCACAGCAGTATACCTAATGAGGGATTTTGGAGGGTAAGATCCCTGCTCCATCCCAGGTGGAGGAAGGTTGAGAGGGTACCATCCATGACAGATTACTTTAGTTTGGCACAGAATGCACTGCTCAGAATCAAATAAAATGGTATGTAAGTTCTTACAAGTCCACAGGTTTCCTGCCACAGCTTTCCTCTGTCTGGTGGAAGTGTTTGCTCTTTAAGTTACAGGTGTATTTCATAGACCTAACTTGCTCTTCTTAATCTGATCTCACCTAGGAAACTCATCAACAGCTGGCTGACAAGAAGAGTCTCCACGTGGTGGAATTTCGGGAGGAATGTGGCCCATTGCCCATTGTGGTTGCCTCCCCAAAGGGGGCCTTGAGAACAGACCCAGAGCCAGAGATTGAGGTTCCTGACACCAAACTTGACTGGGAAGATGTAAAGGCCATGCAGGGAATGAAGCGGTCTGCATGGTCAGCTTTAAAGAGATCAGCCACATAGCCTTCCTGCAGCCACTGTCCACAGACTTCACTCTTTAGCATGCCTCCCCTCCACCTTTTTTTTTTTTTTTTTGTCGGTCGTGGGGCTTGAACTCTGGGCCTGGGCGCTGTCCCTCAGCTCTTCAGCTCAGGGCGAGCGCTCTACCACTTGAGCTACAGCACCACTTCCGGTTTTCTGGTGGTTTATTGGAGATAGGAGTCTCACGGTCTCTCCTGCCCGGGCTGGCTTTGAACCGCGATTCTCAGATCTCAGCCTCCTGAGTAGCTAGGATTACAGGCGTGAGCCACCAGCGCCCGGCTTCTCCACCTTTTTTTTTTTAAGGAAAGTTCAATCTTTATTTACAAATAAATAATTATAGCTTTGGTTTACTGAATAATTACAGCTTTGATTTACTAAACACACTACACATTGTTTGGTGTGGTAGGAACTTTATATTTCTGATCAAGGCAGTTTAAATATTGATAACTAGAAAAAAGCAAATAGGGAGACAGAACTAATCAATAACAATGCACAATAATACTTGCTATAATAATTATAGGTCATATAAATTCTAATTTATCCAAAATGAATTGTATTCACTTCATTATACAGAATGGTTAAAAAGTCTGCGAGGCACTTGGGGCTTATGCCTGTAATTCTGGCTACTGAGAAGGCTGAGATCTGAGGTCACCATTCAAAGCCAACCAAGGCTGTAGGTTAAGTGGTAAGTAAATGCTAGCCTTGAGCAAAAACACTCACAGATAGTACCTGGACCCTGAGTTCAAGTCTCAGAACTAGCATAAAAGTAACCTGATTCGATTCCCTTAAGGGACTGCTGCTCTGTGCCAGGATTTGTCCACCTCCTTACCCGCTTATACTTGTCTATCTTTCAACGAATTATCCTCTAGGGAATGAAGTGGCGCCTTGCACAGCCATATCCCTAACTGCTAAGGAAGTTGAACATCTTTTTCTGGGCTTATTGGCCATTTTTATTTGTTTATAGAAAACATCTATTTGGGGAAGTGGCGCTGTAGCTCAAGTGGTAGAGCGCTCGCCTTGAGCTGAAGAGCTGAAGGACAGCGCCCAGGCCCAGAGTTCAAGCCCCACAGCCGACCAAAAAAAAAAAAAAAAAAGAAAACATCTATTTGGATCCTTTGCCCATTTAAAACAATTTGATTATTTGTGGTTTTTATTATTGAGTTGTAATAGTCCTTTATATTCTCCCATCAGATACATGATTTACCATAAGATATGTTTTGTTTTGGCTGTACTGGGATTTGAACTTGCTAGGCAGACAGTCTACTACCTGAACGTGGTGGAAATCCAGGTTTCCTGCTGTCGCTCCCTCTAGGCCTCTGCTGAGACCATGCTGCCCAGGTATGGAAGGAGCATAATGAGAAGCCCTATTAGCCTGGATGTTGGTGAAAGTTCTCAACCTTTGATGTCATTAGGTGAAGGGTTACTTATTTTTTTTTCTTCCTGTAATATTTGGCAGAAGTAAGGTAGTCATTTCCCAAAGTTTTCTGTCTTGCTAGTTTACTCTCCTTTCTTAAGTGCCTAACAAATACAAAGCAGTAGGGCCAGGCATTGTGTATTTTTGTAATGCCAGCTCCTCAAGAGGCAATGGAGGAGACAGGATTGTTCTATTCCTTCTCAAACTTCTTGAAACAAGGTTGGCATGGTGGCTCATCTCTGTAATCACAGCTGCTCAGGAGCAGAGATAGGAAGATTGTGGTCTGAGGCCTGCTCAGGAAAAAGTACAAGACTCTCAGAGAAAGAAAAAAAGACTGGGGGTGTGAGTCAAGTGGTAGAGCACTTGCCTCAAAAAGTTTGAGGTCCTGAGTTCATTCTCTAGTACTGCTGGAAAAAAGAAAGCACAAAACACCTTGAGGCAACAAAGGACAATTATCCTTTAGAGATGAGAAATATAATTTTCCCTCTAGAGTATGTCGAGAAAGTTTATGGCCTTATAGAGGATCACACGATCAGGACCTTGTAACTTCCCTGTGGTGAGCGGATGGAATTGGTATGGAGGACAGTCCAGAGGAGGATTTCCTATGGGAGAGGTCTATACCAGTAAGAACAAGACAGTGTGCATCGGAAGGTTCCACCACTCCGAACAGTGCTGTAGGCTGACAACCAAGCTTTTAGTGTGTGCATCTTTCGGGGGCACTGAAGATCTAGACCCTAACAATGTCCATATATAAAAGTTGATTGTGATTGTGTGTGTGTGTGGGGGGGGGGGTCTGTTGTAGGGCTTGAACTTGGGGCCTGGGTACTGTTCCTGAGCTCTTTTGCTCAAGGCTAGCACTCTACGACTTTGAGTCATAGCACCACTCCTGGTTTTCTGGTGGCTAATTAGAGGTAAAAGTCTCATGGGCTTTCCTGCCCAGGCTGGCTTTGAACTGTGATCCTCAGATTTCAGCCTCTAGAGTAGTTAGGATTTCACATCTGAGTCACCAACACCTGGCTTTGATTGTTCTTGAGTTCAGTTTTGTTTTCAATTTCCTCACAGAGTTGTCCATTTCTGACAGGGATGTTAAAGTCTCCACCTGCCATGTGGAGTCATGAGTTTTTTTCTTGCAGTTCTACCACTTTTTGCCATATGTATTTTAATGTCTTGTTCAGTACATACACATTAGGATTTTTCATGTCTTCTTGGAGTACTGACCTGCTTAGCATTATTAATGCCCCTCTTTCTAATTGGTAATTTTCATTATCCCGAATTCTAAAGTAATACAAGAGTATTATTGTTAACATGGTATGTGTTTCTCCTCTTTACTTTGAATGTACAGTAATCCTTCATACCCATGCTATAGCTTTGCATGACTTCAGTTACCTGCAGTTAATGAAGAAATCAAACCATCCCTGTGTTCATGATCAACACGGGATATGCCACCTGCCTCTTAGTCACTTAGCAGTCACCTTAGTTAACAGTGGACTTGCATTATCAGAGCCTGTGTTCAGATAACCTTTATTTGGCTTAATATTGGCCCCAAAGCACAAGAGGGATCCTATTTGATTACTGGTTATTAATAATCTCTTATTGTGCCAGTTTCATCAGTTAAAGTTTATCATAGGTCATGTAGGAAAAATTGAGTGTCTGTAGGGCTCAGAACTTATTACTTGCAGTTCCCGTATCCACTGGAGTGTCTTGGAACTTAGCCTCTGTTGCTAAGGAATGGCTACTATATCTGAATACTTTTTTTTTTTTTTTGTACCAGTACTGGGGCTTGTCTTCAGGGACTAACCTCCTTTAGCTTTTTCTCTCAAGGCTGGTACTCTACCACTTTAGCCATACATCTACTTCCAGCTTCTTGCTGGTTTATTGGAAGAGTCTCAGAGATTTCCTACCGTGGCTAGCTTCAAACCATGATCCTCAGATTTCAGCTTCCTTAATAGCTAGAATTACAGGTGTAAGCCACCAGCACCTGACCTATATGTGATATTTAAGGTGCGATTCTTTTAGATGACATATAGCTGGATCTCATCGTTTGATCCCCTCTTAATTGGTATACTTACATCACTGAAAAATGTAGTTATTGATAGAGCTACTTTAATACCTGCCATATTGTTACTGTTTTCTACTTGTTGCCTTTGTTCTTTGTTCCTATTTTTATCTCGCTTTTTCCCTTGCCTTCTGGTTTTCTCGACTAACCATGTCACTTATATTAGACTTTGTAATATCCATTTACAACTATTCACTTTTCAAATATAAGCACAAAGCCTCCATTGCCATTGCCCTGAGCCATTCTGCAGCTTAGAATATTGTTGCTATTAGAGTATTGAACAAACATCTGATAAGTCAAATAAGAATGTTTTCTTTCACATTCCTTCTTTTCCTTATGTAAATCTGCATTCTACCTTGTATCATGCCCTTTTCTGGAAAGAACTTTAACCATTTTTTGAAAGGCTTAGTCACTTGTCATATTCTTTGAGAAAGACTATAGTTTTTCCACTTTTAAAGGATGGTTTTGTAGGGTACAGAATTCTACATTGGTTTATTTTATGTTTCCTCCTAGCACTTCAACTTTTCACTCTGATCTTGCTAGTATGGTTTCTGAGAATCTGAATGAAATTTTTATCTTTTCCTCTGTCATCTTTTAAGATTTTTTTTCCTTTATTTTGGTTTTCTACAGTTTAAACATTAAATGCTTAGTTGTTTTCTATTTTTTCTTGTGCTTGTTTTCCGAGCTTCTTAGACCCACAGTTCTTAAATATTCTGCTCTTTCTCCCTCTCTTTCCTCTCCCCTTCTCCCTTCTCCTCTCTTCTCTCCTTGCTCTTCAGTTTTGGAGTCTTTTTTTTGGAGGGGGGTTCGGGTTGTGGGGCCTGAACTCTGGGCCTGGACACTGTCCCTCAGCTCTTCAAGGCTAGCGCTTTACCACTTGAGCCACAGCGCCACTTCCAGCTTTTTTATTTTTGCTTATGTGGTGCTGAGGAATCGAACCCAGGGCCTCAGGCATGCAAGGCAAAGCGCTCTACCACTGAGTCACCTTCCCAGCCCCAGTTTTGGAGTCTTTTGACTTATCCTCAAGTTCAGAGATTCCTTCCTCAGTTATATCTAGCCTGTAACAAGTCCATCAAATGCATTAATTTCTATTACAGTGTTTTTGATCTCCAGCATGTTTCCTTCTTTCTTAGAAGTTCCATTTCTCCACTTCTACCTTCTGTTCTTGCACTGTCTACTTTTGTTCTGCTTGAGCCACTAGCACATTTGTCTTAGTTGTTTTAGATATTGCTGGTCAGATCATTCCAACATTCTGCTATATTGGAATCAGCTTGCTCAGCCTCTTCAGACTGTCTGTTTTTAGTGTGCCTTGTCATTTGTTGAAAGCCAGATCTCTGGAGCTGAGTTATAAGTAGGCCTTTGGGAGTGGTGGTGGTGGTGTGTGTGCGCGTGTGCGTGCGCCTGCATATGTAAAGTAGGGTAGCATTCTTTGGTAGTATGTCTGAGCCTTCTTGTAAACCTGTGTCCTTCAGCTGTGACCTCAGTTGCTCCTCAGTTTTCCCCCAGTAGAGGGATCAGGATGGAGAGGCTTCCTCTAGGCCATATTGTCTCAAACAGATGCTAGTAGTTTAGGCTGTG